GAAGACAGGACAGCTGACCTGTAGAGGCAAGCCTAAGGCTGCCATGCCTTCTGCAGGATCTGGGGAGCCTCACCTCAACTCCTTCAGCCTCTGCTGCTGCCGTGGGGCAGGATGGGAGTCGGTCCCCTGAGCAGTGTCCAGCCAGCGTTGCCTTTGCAGCCTGGGGCTGTCTGGTGGGAGTGGTGAGCTGGGGGCTGGCTGTGACATGGTGAGGGTGCTTACTGTCTTCTGTGGGTCCTCACAGTGGGGAGAGGGCAGGGCAGCAGCCCAAAGAGACTGCGGCTCCTGTGCTGCAGATGTAGGAAGGCCAGGGGAGCTGGGAGGAGGAGGAGGAGAATGTGCTGCTGCCCTGGTGAAAGTAAAGCAGGTGCTGGAGCCATGAGCCTTACATTGTTCACTCTGTTGTTCTGTCTCTTGGCTGTGCTGGTGCCTGGAGGAACATTTATGAAGGAGGACAGAGCATGACGAAATATTTGATCTGCTGTCAGAGGACTCACAGGGAGACACAGAACTCAGTGTCCGCAGCACAGCAACACAGCAGTGTTTCTGAATTGCATGTGTTACAGGAATAGCCCCGGCATCTCAGATGCTCATCCAGTGTGATCTTCCCTGGAGGACAAATGCTTCCTCAGGAGGTGGTGTATGCAGCATCCTCACGCCCCATGCAGGATTTCACAGTGCCTACATGTCAAGAACTGATCCTGTTTGTAACGCCTCGTCCTGACAGTACTCTGGGTGCCGGCACTCGAGCTTGGCTCCACTCTGGGTGCGGCTGAACACTATTTTTAGCTGATTGCTGTGGCCAGGATGGGAGCCGGTTGTGTGCTTTATGGAGATGAGGAGATAGCACGTGCGTCCTTCTCCCTTCATGCTGCAGGCTTTGCTGAGACACTGTGTATGGAATTGGTAATGATCCTGGGAAGGAGACTGCCTTGCCTTGTGCCTATGGGAAGTAGCAGCGAATTAGGGCTGCAGGTCTTGCAGTGTCACCTTGTGCAAAATGCTTAAGAAAAGTACTTTGAAAACCACTCAAATTCTATAGGTGTGTCTGAAAAGTCTCCCCCTCCACAACTCCAGGCTGTGCCTTGGTTTTTATGCACAGCGCGGATGATGCTGCCTATGTGCAGCAGCTTAATCCCTTACACCAGCATGAAAGGTTTTCAGCACCTGCTGCCTGGCCATTAGGAGCTTGATCTTGGGATGCTTCAGCACCTGCTGTGTGGATGCTCTTCCTGCTTTCAAAAGAGGGGGGCCGAGGCAGGTAGGTACCTTGCCCTCTTTCTTTTGTTTTTACTTTGTTCTTTGTTTCTAGCAGGTATGGATGGGAAGAAATGCAGTGTGTGGATGTTTTTACCTCTTGTGTTTACACTGTTTACATCAGCTGGATTATGGATAGTGTAAGTTATCTCCTGCTGGTTATTTGGGAGAGCAAGTTAGTCTGGGGCAGTTGGAAGAACCGCTGTGATGTGGGCTGTATCTCAGTACAGAGTCTTTTGGGGATGCTCTGTCCTTGACTTACTGTGGGGCTGGGAAGGCATATGATAGGGGCAGGGGCCAGTCCATGGCTTAGAGGAACACATTTTTATCCCTGAGTTTCTGTGCTGCCCAGGCAAAGTTTCTGACCTTGCCTTCTTCCTGGCCCATGTTACTGGGAGCTGCCTGAAAAGAGACAGACAAAAATGCAAAAATTCCCTTTCATCACATTTTCTTTGAATGACTCAGCAGAGCTCTTGGAGAAGCACTTAGGCCCTGCTTTGGGGTGCAAACTCAAAATCCGCAGAAACCAGCACCGCACTGACAACCTGCCAGCAGCTTAATGCTGACACCTCACTTTCTCACTAACACTTCTTACTAAAATGCACACGAGATGCATTTCCCTGAGCTGGGCTCTCTCCAAGCATGGAGGCAGATGACTGCAGCATGAATTTGGGAGCAATAAACGTGTGATCAGCAGCTATGCTCAGCTGGAGAAGCAGTTATATTGTAGGATATGGCTTTGGCCATGGTCTGTGGATGTTGTTTTTCAGCAACAGGGGCAGCTTAAGCCATTTGTCTGACCCTTATTGCTTGTTGTTCTTCCTGTTCCATCCCCTCTGTTTGTACTAAAACAGTTTTGTGGAGGGGGGGGCATGGTAAACCAGATAAATCAAATGATTCAGATTAAGAATGAAAACATTCCCCAGGTTGGTTATTTTTAAGGCAGCTCAGTTTAGTGACCCTGTTTGTCTACCTGACTATGCCAAACAGATGCAACACAAAGCGAGGCACATCGTTAGGCCTGGAAGTGAGCAAAACTGCCTCCCTGAGCAGAGAGAAACACAGGCTGCCTCCAGCAGCCCCTGCCAGTGGGCTTTGAGACACTTAACGTGTTGTTTGAGTGATATTTGGAATCGAAGCCAGGATGAGGTTTTACACTGTTTTAATATTTTTCTTTTTTTTTCTTTTTTTTTCTTTTTTTTTTTTTTTTTTTTTGACAGGTACTTTATAGCAGTGGAAGATAACAAAATTCTCCCACTAAATGTACCAGATAGGTAAGAGCTGATTGTGAGCTTTACGTTCAATCACTTCTTTCTTTAAAATAATAAAACAATGAAAGGGAAAGAAAAATCTTGAATCTTTATTCCTATGCATTTATGTCTCTTAGGAAACCTGGTTCTGAAAGACCACCTTATATAAGGTAAGTGAATGATTTTCTTCCAATTACTGTCTGATTAATGGTTGTTATTTATGTATGTTTGCTGTCACGGAGTTACAATGATACACTTTATATTTTCCAAGTATTGCAGGTGACGCTCCTCCTGCAAGCTGCGTGTTTAGCCAAGTCATGAACATGGCAGCATTTCTAGGTAGGAACCACAAGGGGAGTGTTTCTTTCTCTCTCATAATTTGCTTTAAGAAGTCACTGAAACATAAGCAATACATATTGTTCTTGAATCTGATGATGTGAAATTGTTTAAACTGTGATTACTACTAATTACGACAGTGTTATTTTGTCTTCATTTGTAGAAAGACAGAATGAAGCTGGATGCATTTGAACTTTATTGTTTTTTGATTTATTCTCATGTTTTTAATTGTCTCATCTTAGCCTTGAGTCTATATGACTTTTTTTCATTATATGGTGGCGTTTTGTTATATGCTGTGAATGTGAGATAATTGCATGGGAATACTGGCAAATGCAGCAACTGATTATGCAAAATATCATCTGTGCTGAAGTCCCCCTTATCCCACCCCTTCCTAAATTCCATTACTAAATCTGTGGAAGTTTACTGGCATTTTCCAGCAGTGGAAGTAAGAGGGAAACACAACAAAGAGAAGTATCTGAAAAGTACTTGAAAAAAGATATCTCTGGTTCTTAAAACTGTTTGTTACCTTCACCTGTACGTATTTTGAGCAAATTATCCCAAACTTAAATGGCAAATAATTAATTATTTTAGCCTTGATTTGCTCTTCTTTAGTAGTACTTGCATTTATCTTTTCCTACATGGGGTGATTTATTATGCTTTCAGTTTTGCTCTGAGCTATTCTCTCGAAGTGTGGGTTCCACCCCTGCTGCCTGTGAAAGGCATGATGTTTCTTTTCAGAAACCTGGGAAATTCAGTTGAGTTGAGCTTTGAAATTAATCCAGACTTGTATGTGCACGAGTAAGATACCTTAACAACCTTAATCTGACATAATGGAAACGAGGCTTAGGATGTAAAACCTGGTAAAATATGTTTAATCATGAACCTTGACATGAACTTCCTTATTTTCAAGTATCAAGAGCAATGCAGTCATCAGGCACAGTCAACATGAGTTCACAAAGGGAAAGTCCTGTTTAACTAATTGGATATCCTTCTATGATGAGGTCACCCACCTAGTGGATGAAGGGAAGGTGATGGATGTAGTTTTTCTGGATTTTAGTAAGGCTTTTGATACTGTCTCTCACAGCATCCTTCTGGACAAGTTGTCCAACTGTGGGATGAGCAAGTACGCAGTATGCTGGGTGAAGAACTGGCTGAAGAGCAGGGTTCAAAGCGTTGTAGTGGATGGGGCTACATCAGGCTGGCAACTGGTCACTGGTGGTGTTCCTTAGGTCTCAGTCCTAGTGCTGGTTCTGTTCAATATTTTTGTCTATAATCTGGCTGCAGGAGTTGAATGCACCATTAGCAAGTTTGCTGATGATACCAAACTGGGAGGTGCTGTTGACTCTTTTGAGGGATGAGAGGCCTTGCAGGAGGATCTAGATTGATTGGAGCATTAGGCGATCATTAATGACATGAAATTTAACAAGTCCAAGTGCTGGATTCTGTACCTGGGATGGGGTAACACTGGGCACAAGTGTAAATTGGGAGAGGAGTGGCAGGAGAGCAGCCCTGCAGAAAGGGATCTGGGGGTGCTGGTTGACAGCAGGCTCACTATGAGTCAGCAGGGTGCCCTGGCAGCCAAGAGGGCAAAATGCATCCTGGGGTGCGGCCAACACAATACAACCAGCCAGTCAAAACAGGTGATTATCCCACTGTATTCAGGCTTGGTGTGGCCTCACCTTGAATATTGTGTGCAGTTCTAGGCCCCACAATTTAAGAAAGTTAAAGTACTTGAATGCATCCAGAGACAGCAGCAAAGCTGGTGGAAGGGTTGGAAGATATGCCCAATGAGGAGCGGCTAAAGACTTTGGGTTTGTCTCCTTTGGGGAAAAGGAGGCTGAGGAGCGACCTCATGGCTCTCTACAGCTTCCTGAGGAGGGAAAGTGGAGAGGGAGGTGCAAATCTCTTCTCCCAGTAATAGGATGAATGGGAATGGTTCAAAGCTGTGCCAGGGGAGGTTTAGACTGGACATTAGGAAGCATTTCTTTCCCGAGAGGGTGGTCAAACACTGCAACAGGCTTCCTAGAGAGGTGGTCAATGCCCCATCCCTGTCAGTGTTTAAGAGGCATTTGAACAATGCCCTTAATAATATGCTTTAACTTTTGGTCAGCCCTGAAGTGGTCAGGCAGTTGGACTAGATGATCATTGTAGGTCCGTTCCAAATGAAATATTCTATTCTATTCTATCTCTGCTTTGTGGATAAAGCCAAGCTTTTCTCTGCTGGATTGGGTGCTTCTGAGAGCTGCTTTTAGCTTGCACCTCCGGCCACCTTAGTTGTGTCAAAGCCCTTGCTATAGGAGAGGAAGACTACAGAAACCTGCTAGAAACAGAGGCATTACCGAATATTGAAAATGCTGTTGTTTTGCATGTAATGCTGGAAGGTGACCTTTTAATTCCCTTTTGTCATTGCCATCAGTGTTTTAGGAAAAGATCACATAATTTCAGGATGCTGTCCTGTAGAAATAGAAATGAAAAGGTTCCTGCGTGTGAGCTCAAGTAGTCACAGGGTGGCTGTCGCAAACAATTAACTGGGGGTGAAAAACAGAAATTTTCTTTTTTGGGGGAACAAAGTCCTCTTGTTTTTATGGATTTGGAGTGGATTGATTCACTAGAGCAAATTGTGAGAGAGTAAATTCAAACATCTTTTGCAGTTTGGATAGAACTGGGTATTCTTTATTTACAGTGCCCTTATTTTTCTAAACCATGTTTTTAGTATTATACCAGGATTTTTGTGGAAAATATAGATCTAATTTGCTAACACAGACAATTTACAACAATATGACCTGCATGCTATCAGTTTGAGCATAAGCATAAGAAGGTGTTTGGCAGCAACCAGCAAATTTCCCTGTTCAACTCAATTGCTTTTTAGTGGTCTGGTTTGAATCCCATCTGAAGGCCAACTGATTGCCTGGCTTTCTGTGTTGTTCCATGCAGGATTCCCTAGGGAGGTCAAGAATATAAAATGTGAATATCTCCTGGGATTATGTCATATATGATATATCATGTGTCATAGTGCTTGGGCTAATTGTAAGCTTGCAAGGACTGCTCTTCCAGTCTTCGCAGAAAATTAGTGCAATATTTTGGCTTATGGTTGTGGCACCAGCAACTTGTTCCAGAGGAGGAGAAGAGGCAGTGGGCATTATGGTAAAACCTGCAGAAATACATAGGTGCTGTTCATACATTTTCTAATACAGGTGGGGTTTGACGTACCTCCTCCAAGAGAGCTCAGTGCTCGTAAGTGGAGTGAAACTTGATGCAAGCCCAGCTGCCGCAATGTGAGTGCATGCTGTGTATGTGATAGACTATGTGCTGGGAGCTTCATGGCAAATAGGAAGGTGCTCTTTTTTCCCCCAGAAAATTTGCAACCCAGCTCCTAGACAAAACATCATGAGAAAAAGAAGCATGGGAGCTTGACATAACTGGATTACAAGAGAAATGCGTCCTGTGCTTAGTCTTGTCCATGACTAAGTGGGAGGGGGCCAGGCAGAAGCACTGAACTAGCCGGCCTGCAGTGAGCTCTCCCCTCTGGGTGGAAAGAGGGTGAGGGGTCTGTGGGCCCCCAGCCAGGTGGTTAACTGCAGCATGTTTTACCTACTGACGCACCTTGCATTCTGTTTCCTTCTCAGCGCTTGTCGTGGCTGTCCTGCGCTTCATTCAGCTGAAGCCGAAGGTGCTAAACCCATGGCTGAACGTCAGCGGCCTGGTGGCATTATGCTTGGCGTCTTTTGGGATGACCCTACTTGGCAACTTTCAGGTACTGCGCTCCAGGCTTGGACTGCTGTGTCTGTGCTGTGAGGTTCCTGCTTTTCTAGCAGATCTGCTTAGGTCTTTGAATTACCTGTGATGCGAACTTAGGAGATAATGTGTCTGGCTGTGCCCTAGCCCTCCTTGTACCTCCTCTGCCACCTCTGTCTGCCACTTACATGGTGGCTCCAGTGACATCCTGAGATGAAGGGCTGCAATCATTTTTCACATATTTCCAGCAGGATTTGCACCTGCGTGCTTCTACTTGACCTGCTGAGAGCCAGACCAGGGAAACTATTGAATCTCTTGGGGGTTGGCATAGATGGTCCTGGGTAAAAGGATTGAGCTGGAAGTTTACATAGGCATCTGTGTGAACAGGTGCACACCTGCCCATACAGCTTTAGCAAACAGTTCAGTGTCCTTCATTTAAAACACATGTTGTTTAAATCTACCTCCCGCTTGTCCTCAGACTGGCCACGAGAGGAACACAGCGGAGGAGTGCTACGACTTCTCCTAATGTGATGGGTGCCTGGATGAGGTTCCTCTGATTCTCAATCTGTTCTGCAACATTATACAAACAAACAAGCTGTCAGTGCCACAACGTTGCTCTGTAGGGTTGGGTGTCCACTGTGATCACGAGTGTGTCTGTTAGGTCTGCAGTGAAAGTCAAGTGGCAGTTGCGTTTCCCCATCCCTTTGCTGTCTGTTGTGGTTTAATGCCAGCCAGCAACTAAGCACCACACAGCCGCTCGCTCACTCCGTGCCCCTGATGGGGTGGGGGAGAGAACTGGAAGGGTAAAAGTGAGAAAACTCATGGTTTGAGATAAGAACAGTTAAATAATTGAAATAAAGTAAAATAGTAGTAGTAGGAATAATAATTATGCAAAGCAACTGGTGCACAATGCAATTTCTCACCACCTGCCGACTGATGCCCAGCCTGTCCCTGAGCAGTGATTGCTGCCTCCCAGCCGACTCCCCCCAGTTTATATACTGGGCATGACGTCATATGGTACGGAATAGCCCTTTGGCCAGTCTGGGTCAGCTGTCCTGGCTGTGCCCCCTCCCAGCTTCTTGTGCACCGGGCAGAGCATGGGAAGCTGAAAAATCCTTGACCAGTGCAAGCACTACTTAGCAACAACTAAAACATCAGTGTGTTATCAACATTATTCTCATCCTAAACCCAAAACACAGCACTATACCAGCTACTAGGAAGAAAATTAACTTTCTCCCAGCCAAAACCAGGACACTGTCTCTGATGCTCTGCCTCTCATTGGGGTGCAAGTAATGACCCCCAGTAATGGCAGGAACTGAGAAAGGTTAGTGTAGGCTGGCCTCTTTCCTGGCTTTTCAGGCAGGGAGCTGTTTTTCTTGCCAATACACAAAAGGTACTTATTTTGTGAAGGGTGAGTACCTGTTTGGGTTACGGAGCAATTGCAGGAACTTTGTGTACTCTACAGTTGTCTTTTTTTTGTTTTGTTTTGTTTTTGAATGAGGTGTGAGATCATTTGAGTGTTTTGGACCTGGGCTTCCTAACTCCACAGCACAAGCCAAAAACTTGGAGTCTTGGTTTTTCACGAGAGCTTCCCAGCTAGGAACTATGAGGCTTTTCTAACAGCTTTTTCTAGGTGTGAGAAGAATATTTCTTGTAAAGGGCAGGCACTAGGAAGCAGTTTCAACCTCTCCTTCCTTTTTTCGCTCCTCAGAGCAAATGATTGTTATTTAAAAGTGGATACTTTGAATCATGCCTGGTTATAAATTCTGAACTAATTATCCACTCCTTGTTAGTTACCTGTGTCCTTGTTTAGATCTTTTGCTAAATCATGGAAGCATGTAGTAATGAGATGTTAGTCCATGCTTTTCCCTTGCCTGACTGCTAAGCTGCATGTGGCATTAAATCATATTTCTGGAAAATTGCAGATTGGGTGTGTTGCAGGGTCATTATGGCTGTGAGTCCCTTGCAGTGCAGGCTACCTTGGGAAAGGCAGCTCAATCCCATTTTTGTCTGTACTGTGATTTGGACCTACCCTTGAATAAAAAACTCAAGGTAGGGAGGAGAGGGGAGAGGTCAGTGGAGGCACAGTAACTAGACTGTTATCTTGTAGATTGCATCTTGTTTGACGGGAATTTGTTAAATCACCAAACAGGAATCAAGGCTGCAGGGAGGAATTAGACTGCTGGTTTCTTTTCTAGAAAAGCCTCAGAGGCAGAGGGAAAAGGGAAATTGTTTGGCTTAAGTCTTGTCCATGCTGGGCTTTCTCAATGGATTTGCAGCCTCAAAGAGGATCTCTTTGCAGATTCTTGCTCATTGAACCTGGCTGTCCTTTTGCCTTGCAGTATTGCACAGTCACTGAGCCCTGTGAGACACGGGAGCCCAAGGAACAGAGAATTACACTCCAGAGAGACTGGGTTCATATTGCCTCGGACCCCAATGGTCGAGGATGGGCAGGAGAGGGAATAGGCTTTTTGGTGGGAGAAACTTGCCAAATCAGGAGCATGTGTCTGTGTTTTGGCTTGTGCTAGCTCAACGGAGGCATCATGGCTCTGGCTACCCTCTGCCCCAGGCAGCACTGCTCCATTCAGCTAGCACTAAAGGTTGCACAGTTTGCTTCCATTGCAGGGAGTTGTACAAGACCCCAGTGGGTTGTCCTTGCCTGCCCTGCCCATCACATCGAGCCAGGGAAGGATTTGTTTCTGAGCTCTGCCTTGGTGAGTCTTGTCAGGGAGGCAGTCCCCAAGCAACTGCATTTTCCACTGTGCTTGGGCTTTGGACAGATCTGCTTGACTGTGACAGCTGTCAACTCATCTTGGTTATGTTACACCTTACACCTCTGCCAGAAGAAATAACACAGCATCTCTGTCTCACACCCCAGTGATTCCCACTCTCCTCTATCCCACCCCAGCAGCAATCCAAGGTAGCTGGCAGATAATTCCTGTTGCATCCAAGCAATCACCGTTTTGTTTGTTCCTAGCTTTCCAATGATGAGGAGATCCACAATGTGGGCACATCGCTGACCTTTGGCTTTGGGACCTTGGCATGCTGGATCCAGTCTGCCCTCACCCTCAAGACCAACCTGAAGAATGAGGGACGGAAAGTCGGGATTCCACGAGTCGCCTTGTCGGCCAGCATCACCCTCTGCGTGGTGCTCTGTATCCTTTTGTCCTGCTCCCTGGGAAGCCAGGTATCATACATGTCCGACACTCTCTGCAGCAGGGAACGTTGGCTCTTCTCACATCTGTCCTAGGATCTCAAAGCATTTAGGAATGCTACTCAGCTTGTCTTCATGGTGTGATCCTATGATTGGCTCATTTTGCTACTTGCGTTTTACCAGCATGCACTGCTTCACAGATGGGCTCACTTCCTTCATAAATGTTTCTAAAACTTCTTAGTGATATCCAAAGTGGTTACAATATTGAATAGTATCTGTGCAATTTAATGGCACTACTGCTTACCTACACAGTAGCATTTAAGATTATGCAAAATACTGAGATAAAAATTCTCAGGAGAACAAAGGAAAAAGGGAAGAAATCAGGTTTCTGAAGATGAGAAGATTTTGATGTGTTTGTTGAAATGCTCCAGGATGTTACATCCAGCTCTGCCTTTTAAGAGGGTTATCACAGTCAAAAGTGCTGGGTCATGTGGACTTCGGGTAAGCCTAGGTGCTTTACAATTGGGATTTGAGCTGTGGGGGTCTGTGGTCATTCAGACTGGATGTACATGTGACTTCCTCTCCACCTTGTGCCAGCCAGCCCCACTCCAGCCCTTCTGTTCGCACCAGCACTCACGTGCCCTGGGTGTTTATTTAGGCTGGATGTATTCACTGCATAGTTGCATCAACATTAGTCCTGGGATAAGCAAGAGGGCAGGAATAAATGGCAAGGAATAAACTAATCCCCCTCTTTGGGGAACAGCCTGTTCTTAAAACAATTCCTTAGTCACTTGGCTGGTTTTGAACATTTCAGCCAGTGTCCAGAGGAACAGCAGATTGGTGTGAAGATGTACTGTCAGTCGCCTCTTAAGCTTCCTTGGAAAAATTTGTAGCTGAGCATCATGCTTTGGTGTACATAACATAGGAGTTTGCCCAGTTCTTGTGGTGCTCCCCTCCTTCCCTTGTCCCAAGCCTATAGCTCCCCCGGGGTGTGTGTAGGGTAGGGCTGCATGCGAGGAGCTGGGCCGGGCTCCTGCTGCGCTGCCATCTTCAGAGTTTTCTGCCAGGCTGGGAGCAGGAGCAGCCGGGTAAGCCAGGACATAGCTGCTCCTCTACCATGCTCCCAGCCCTCCCCAGCTGTCTGCTTGGCACTGAAGGCCTTGGGCCCTCTGTGGAGGGGTGCAGGCTGAAGCAGGAGTCCCATGCCCCACCCCTGCCAATGTCTTGGGGCTGGCTCCCCATCCCATGCAGCTTGTGAATAACCCTTGCACTACAGGGAAAGTAGAAGATCCTTAAAGCCAGACACAGAATGTGGTTTGCTGAAATGAAGCTTTGGTTGCTTACACTAAGCCCAAGATGAAAAGTCTCTGATTACCTGCTTTGTGCAGTTAAAGCATGGGAGAAGCTGCTTGTTTGTTTGTTTTACCTGTGAAGATGTGTGACCTTGCATTCTTGGAGTGCAGAGGAAATCCTGGGAGAGAGGAGAGCCAGTAGGTTTAAAGGGGATGTGCATTGGGCTGGGACAGGTCCCCAGCTCAGGAAGGTGGCCTCTGCTTTAGGGGAGCTGAGAATTGCTCTTATGGAGTACTCCAACACAACCCGAGGCACAGCAGTGAGACCCTGATGCCAGGCAATATGCGGTCCAAGCAGGATGCAGTACATGAGCCTGGAGGACAGTTTCTGGCTCTGACAGCAGTCGTCTTCCTTTCAGTATAACATGCCATACTGTGTAGACTGATGTTTCCGGATTTCACAGAAATGGATGATTTTGCAGGTGATCTAAAGAGAAGGAAAGATTGCACACTGTAGGCTGACAGGTGTTCCCATTGCCTGTGGTGCAGAGATCTGATCCAGTTCCTGCTGCGAGACTTCTGGCAGATAGGGGCCCACAGCCAGATCCCCAGCTGGCTGGCTCTGTCACAGGCTAGTTGGATGTTCAAGCAAGTCATTGACTTCTCTGTGCATAAGTCTTTCCCTCTGTAAATTTTTATCAGCCTGAATTGGGATCAGGAAGCCCTGGTCTGTATAGGAAAACTGCTGCGCTCCATGGGCATTGTTGGACACCTGACATCCCTTCCATCTCTGGCACCACATTCATGCTTGCCTGATGATGGCTGGCTGGGTTGACTGTCATCCAGGTGACTTTAATTGCTGAGATTTTATTGTCTTCTTTGTTGTCTTTCTCTCATCCTGGTTGGTGTCTCTGCTTGCATTAGTTCTCCTTGACTTTCCTCTTCCAGATTTCATCCTCATGGCGCAGGGCATCCACATGCATGCTTCCAGGATCCAGTGGGGCCTGGTGATGTGCTTCCTGTGCTACTTTGGCACCTTTGCAGTGGAGTTCAGGCACTACAGATTTGAGATCGTTTGCTCTGAGTACCAGGAAAACTTTCTGAGCTTTTCTGAAAGCTTATCAGAAGCCTCTGAGTACCAGACAGATCAGGTGTAGCCTGTCCTGTGGCAGGGGGGAGGGGGGCAGGTGTGGTCTCATGGGTTAAATGTGACCTCATTTACACTTTCTTGATGAGTTTGTTTTCATGTGCAATCATGATCGTATTGCCAAAGGGCTCTGAGGGTGGCTGTTTCATTAAGAACCAAACAAAAATAGCTGTCTGCTGGAAGGAGTGGATCCTTCTCAGCAGCAGCATGAGAGAGCACAAGCTGTTTAGTTTGTGTTACCAGTGACTCTTTCTGAGTGGCTCTGTCACGCTCCTGTTGTTCAGAACATTAAACAGCCAGTCCCTGCGATGCACCTCCGAGACAGGCACTCCTCATCCTGTTCTGCAGAAGAGGACGTGAAGGAAACGGACTTCTCCGGGCACCAGGAGTCCTCAGCAGTCACCGGTTCCTGAGTCACCAGACTGCATCTTTTGTGTGTTTCTTGTGTTGTTTTCTTTGCTGCCAACTGGTGTAACGTGGTAGGGTGAGAAAGAGCGGCTGTTTCTTCTGGACTTGGGATCAGGCAGTGGAAGACCCCAACTGACTGGCTTTTATGGCGAGCAGGCAGGTGTTTCTTACAGCCTGGAAAGCAGCCGACGGTAAAGCCAGGTTTGGGAGAAACTGTGCTGTGATCAGGAAGTGAGACTTGGCGGATGCTGCCTTGTAGCTGGGCAGACCGTCCCCAGGCCAGAGGAGATGGCACAGTGGGATGCTGTGTTTAGTTTGGTGTTTCAGATGCAATGGTGGGGACTGGTGGAAGTGAGGTGCTGAATTAAGATGGGAATGCCTGTGTGCTCTGAAGATGACCCAGAAAAGGCTGCTCTTCTAAGTGCGCAGAGCTTCCACCACATATTGTGTGTAATATTTCAAAAGCGTTTTTTTGTTCACTGAGGGGGAAAACATTGTGTTAGAGACACTGGGCTTGCCTGCAATGAGAACAGAACCGTTGCAGGTGGTTCTGGACACAGAGTTTGGTTTTGCTCCTTGTGCACTAAGTCAGACGAGACACAGTGACACTAGGCCTGGGCTCTGGACCCTCAGTGTGGCCAGTTCTCCTGAGTGGAGTCTACCACAGGTTTAAGCAGGCTTCCAAGGTGCAAGGAGGCAGTTCTGCCCCAGAAGCTGGGTGATGTGGCCTGAGGGCTGGAGGGTGCAGGAAGAGAACAGCAAAACCAGAAGGGCTTCTGCCTCCCTGAAGGGAAGTTTTCAAACAAAGTCTGTTTTTGAAGAAAAAGCAGGAGCTCAAAGCCCCTGTTTGAAAACCTGATTTTTGGAAGGCTGCTGTATTGGCTGGTCAGGGCAGTGATGGGAGTTGCTGCTCATGAACATGGCTCTTGAGTCAGACTCAGCTTAGGTTTGCATCTTGTCTGAGCTGCAGGAAAATAAGCAGAAATTAAAACAGCAGCAAAAGGCATTTGAAGGGGAACTCGTACACCATGGCATTTCTGACAGTGAGGGACAAGGCACGAGGGCATTCAGTCTTCTGCAAAGGTCAGAGGCCTCTCCTGAAAGGAGAAACAGTTGAGGAAAAACTTCCGTCAAAACTCGTGTAAGCTTTCAGCCAGTCCTTTATCTTCTGTGGGCCAAAATTTGTTCTCAGACAGCTGTGTTATAAATCCAGAGCATCTCCAGCCAACAGAGGCTTGTCATTGGATGGCTGAAGGCCTCTTCCTTGTAGCTGTGTCACTAGTGGGGAGCTTTCCTGGAGGGACATGCTGAGGATGGCCCAAGGGCACAGCAGTGCAAAGCGCAGGGCTCCCCAGGCTGGCGCAAGGACACAGCAGCATCTGTGGGATCACCTGGGGAGCTCCTCCTGAGCGAGGGCAGGAGGGAATAGCCTGGAGAAGATGCAGGTGGGGATCCTCTTACATGGGCACACACACTCAATGCACATGGAGCACAAAATAGTGATTTGTTTTAAGGGTGTTTTACTGTAAATAGTCCGCTGTGACTTTTTTTAAAAAATCAATTAATACTTTCAGTTTATCATTTTATATTTTGTAATTTTATCAAAGGGAAAAAAGATTATGTTTGTGATTTTTTTTTCTTTCTCTCCTTTTCCTATATGCAATCCAAACTGAACTTCAGGTTTTTGGTGATAACTGTACATTTCTTAGAGTATTTCTAACAGCACATTTCAGTACAACTAAATGACAACTGATATACACTGAAACATGACCACTAAATAAAGTGCTTTTATGGAGAATGTGAGTTTTATTTTTGTCCCCTACCCCATGCATAGCTTTCTGATGGCAAAGGCAAAACAAAAGGTGAGTATTTACAGTGTCATGATTAAAATTAACACTTAAGGAAGCCAGGGACTATTCAGCCATGCAGATAGGCAGTGCTAATTAGCAGGCTCTTTCTAGGAGGAGGATCACACTCATTACACAGCCCAGAAAGGCACCCAGCCTAGCTGCCTCACAGACTTACTTGGTACCATCAAAGTTTTAGAAGGGCAATGCTGGCATGATGTGGTTTCCTCCCAAAATGCCTGTCTCTTGCTTATTCTCTACACAGCAGCCTCCTTCAACAGGGACAGTTGTAGGTGTAAATCAGAGCTCAGGAAGGCAACATGCACGTTAGTATTCTATTTTGGCTGTCCGCAAGGGCAAGCTCGAGCGCAGCCATGCAGAAATGAGTAAGTAACAAGTGACACCCACGCACGAAGTGCCAGCAGCAGGGAACCGGGGTTTCAGACTGCCTCTGCCTCCACTATTACTAGGTATAACCTAGCTATAGCTCCCACTCCTGCACCCCCGCTAAGCCCCTACCGAAACGGTAAGATGGTCAGGGAGGTAATACGGCTTCTCTAGCAGGACAGGGTTGTCTGCCTTTAATAAAGGACTGGGGAGGGCGAAAGCAGGAAAACAAAGTGTTCACGGGTTTAAAAAAAACAGAGATTTGCCTTTAGGTGCTGGGATCACCGGTGATAGACAGGAAGGCTAAATACTGGGATGGAGTGAACACAATGAAAGCAAAGTTGTGTTTTTATTTATTACCTTAGGAAAAGCTCCATGACCATCTGATATAAATTGGCACAATTTAGGTAGGGTAGGTGAAAAGGTCAGGGTTTTAATTCTCATTAAATGCAGCAGGATGTGTCCCGCAGGAGCAGTTGTTTGTCAAGGCTTGCCCACAGCTGACCAGTGCTATGAACATGTGACGGGGATGCTGGCTACTGAGAAGGAGTTCCACAGGTTAGTGCTAAGGGAGATACTTCAGAAACGCGGTAAGCTGACTTTGGTGTTTAGCCAGTTGTATTCCATAGCCCAGCACCATGATGCAGCAGTGAGGTGGGTCTAGAATTAAATTTTTAAAGCTATATTTATATATACTCTACTTCATTCTGGTAGGCTGGCTGTGTAGCTCTAAGCAGCTTCCATATGCAAGTTGTACTGTTTTGTACCTAGACCTGCTGTGGATATAGCCAAGATTTAAGTTGTTCCTGGTCGAAAGAGCTTGCCCACAGCAAGGGCTGGCTTCTTCTGTGGCAGCCCAAACCTGCTGTATTATAGGCCACATTTGGCATTTTCCTTTGGGCATCCTAAGGCCCCTAACTTTGAAAGTTTTGACTTAGCCAGCAACCCTGTCTGCAGGGAGACGCTCACATCCCCTCATGGTCCCCAGAGGTCCCTCTGGGACAGGGGGGCATACACCTTATTTGCAGACCATTTCTAAAAATGATGGAGCTCGTGGTGGGGTGTCTCAGCACCAGCTTTCAATGGATGAGTCTGAAGGAAGCATCCCTGCTAGCTGGGAAAGGGGAAGAACAGCAGGGCTCATGGGTGCTGCTCCTCACCCTGTTCCCAGCTCCAGCTGGCTGCTGCAGGCCTCTGTCCTACTGCACAAGAGACTCCACACCATACTCTCTATCCATACCTGCCTGCACTAGTTGCAGGTCCAAGACATGATGTGGGTTTGGTTTTAAATTCTCATTATGGACAAAATTACCTAACATTACACAAGGACAATTCGGGTGAAGCACAGTCTTTCGTGCATGCACTGCTTTCCCTAAGTGGAGAAAGGCAGGAAAAGTTCAGTGAAAGATGAGATGAGGCTGTAATATGATTTCTCATCGTCCGTCAGTCCTGCATTGCCTGGTCTGATCACCACAGCCACGTGAGTATCCGCTTCCTCAGCCGCGTTGGCTTCTGAAACAGAGGTGGGGAGAGTGGAGATGAGCTTACCAACCTCTCCACATGAGGGTCTTTGAGGCTTGAAGATGCCCCAAAACACTGAAGTGCTTTTAAAGATTGAGACTGAGAGAGCAGCGTTTGCATGTGGCCCTGCAGGGCTCTAGAGAGGGACCAGCTCCCAGCAGACCTGCTGTGGATGACTGTAGCTGCTGCATAATGCGAGCAGACGGGAGCTGGCTGCCTCGCCATCTCCTCTCCTCTCCCAGCTGATGGCTGTCCAAGGCACCATGCAGGCAGCACGCACTGGCAGCTCGATCCTTGTCACAAAGAAGCTGGGCTGTGGTTGGGCTGTGGTGTTAGCAAGTCCAACAGCCCCCCCCTCACCAGGAGTGACTTCTCACAAGCTTCCTTCACTCCCCGAGCACAAGAGGCCGCAGGAAGACAACAGAGGGAAAAGGAGGTAACTGCAAATTCCCACCAGCTCTGCTGCCAGTGCTGGGGAGGAGGTAAGGGCTAACTCCTGGGGCTGAGATGGGGACTGAGATTACAAGCCAGTGCCATTTCTGCCAGAAAGACGTTTCCAGCAAAGGCAGGAAATTAAATTAGCTTCCCAAGCCTGGCTTTCCCGGGGTCAAGTCTTGGCGTTTTCCTGCTGCTGAACACAACCTAATGGTAAGTGGCACAAAGAACCAGCCACCGCATGGGCCACGTAGCAGCACAGCAGACATAGTCTGCTCCCCCAAGCATGGGTCATGAAAAGCACTGATCCTGTTTGTAAATGGGGCAAGCCAACTTCTTCCAGCAAATGCTCCACTCCGCTTCAACAGTCTCTCCTTGCTTGCTGGTGCAAGGGCAGGTTTTCTACTTGACC